CAATTAGCACAATAACGCATCTCCCGCCACCTCTGATCAACATCTTCAGGTTTCAACCTGACTTCTCGTAGCATCGACAACATGCCTGATCTGTTTCTGAGAGATGTCACCGCCGACCCAGCCTTCACTGAAAGGCTGAAACAATGGTAATGGTCACTCTAAAGAACCTTCATTAATCACACAACTTATGAGTGAACACTGTCAGCAACACAGCCAGCTAGGTGTGGATCAGCTCTGATGCTTACATCTGTCATTAATAACAACTGTTTACAACATAACATGAAAGCAAAACAAGAAATCAATAGAAAATGGGGATAAATTACTGTGAGTGCCAATATTTAAGACAGCAGAGATAAAGGGCTCTCAGCCTGTAATAGATTCCTTCCATTTACCTTAAGCTTATTGATCTGAGGGTTCTTCAGTTGCTGATAAGACCATTAGTTTGTTGTTGATAAAATAATTTGGTGTCATTATAACTCTAAATATAGCAAATGGAAGTTACACTGCCTATTTTTACACCATACTCTTTTCCTGAGTATCTTTTTTGTCTTTTGACAACTTTACTATAGTTTCTAGAGCATACCTACCTGACCTAAATGTAAACATGTACAGTGTATTCTTACCCAATAAAATCAACCCTTTAAATATTGCAGTCATTTAGACACCACGTTAAGACCACAGGCATATTCTCACTAAGCTCATAATACAGTATCACCAATGCTGGAAATATTCTGGACCAGTAGATTGTTATGTTGATACACAAAACCTATCAAATTCAACTCTTATACAAAGATGCAGACACACACAACCTCTCAAGAGTATGTGAGTCCCAAGAGTGCCGGCTTTGATGAGAAGGTCACAAGACTTTGTTTGACCCCAGAGCAGTGTGACTCTTGGAACTGTGGCTTCACTGTACTTCACACTTATATGTTTTGTTCTTGATCAAGTGCACCCAGCCCCATACAAAATGCTGCCAAACAGACCAAGCAAGATGATCATCCTGGGCAAAAGGAAGCCATGAACGAGCAGGGAAGAGGAAGTAGCGTCTCCTACAGACAGTCGCAGCAGGGGACGGACTAACTATAGCCACATCAATGACTAACTCTCACAGCAAGGACACCTCCCTTCACTTTGAAAAGTAAATAAATTAAACAACAAAGGCGGACACTGACATTCACTGCCTTTCAGTTTATTGCACCAAATAACTTCTTGTCGTCTGTCCGGCACAAAAACATTGTTTAGTTCAGCAGCTGGTGACACTGTGAAATGAAGAATCGTTTTAAGAACAAAGTTCTGTTCCCAGTAGGAATGATGATTGCTATATGGATTCCCAGCCAAAGCAGAAAAAAAATTCCCTCATCTACTAGCCTAATATGGTCATTCCAACTCAGGAGGAAACCCATCTTTGTACTTCTTCATGCATTACACATACAATCAATAATAAAAAAAAATATATAGACTGCGAAAGGCCTTTGTCGCTCTGCCTACAAGCAGCACTGATAAATGATTTTGTGCCAGTTATGACAGCAAGGTGCATGCACTGAAGAGAGTGGAAGGCCTTTTTAATAGTGCAAGGAGAGAATTAAATCAAACCCAGGAGGGCCTCCACTGGAAAGGAGAGATGCTGCATCTCTCTGCTCTAAATCACAGCTCTACTTAAGCCCAGCCCTCTCTTTCCCCATTTTTCTACATTATCAGAGGAAACCTGTCACTGCTGTCTACGGCAAAGTTTACAAATCATGATTTATCAGAGAGAGAATCTCTAAACACCTGTGTGAGAAAATAAGCATCCGCCGCATTATTATTTATAGGCCAAAAAGTTTTTTTTAGCCTTCTTTTAAGTTTAAAAAGTATCTAAAACATTGTACATTTGGTGGAGATGTTTGATCATTGTCTTATAATCCTAAAATTCAGAAAGAAATTGAAGATACACAATATAATTGCCATTTTTGCTACGATAATTCATGTAAAAGCAATGTGCCCATTTCAAGTCCTCAGTAGAAAAACCCTGTAGAACAGATCCTTATTATCCCAGGGTAGGAAAATAAAAAAAGGGGGTTAAAAAGAAGTGAAAAGTTTCCAAAGGTCAAAAATTAATCAAACTCATTACCTGTGGAAGAGAAGGATCCTGGTTGCTGCTAACACGTTTAGCAGATTTTTAACCTCTATTTTCTTTTCAAAGGGCTGGAGAATCCCAAAGGAGCAGACGTCCATGACTCCTCATTTACAACTGGATAAGTGAATCATAATGATCCTCCTATGCCTGCTGGAGACACAGACAGCATAGTTTTAATAACAGAAGCAAAATAACATGCATACACCTAACTCTTATAAATCTATGCAAACACCATTATATCATACAGAATTCAGTTAAAAACTGCACTACTTATTATAAAACCATGAGACTTTATGTGCCTCAACAACCCTAAACCACAACCCAGTTTCTAGCTGCTGTGAGCAGTACAAACAGGCAAAGCCACACCAGCAAGGGAGAGAAAATCCTTCTTACTGGTCACCAAGGCCAGTTGCTACCACTTTATCCAGTAAATACTACAGGAGAAAGCAGCAGAGCGAAAGCTTTATGGGGGGAAGAAGTGAACCCAGGGTGATGGGCACTCAGTCCACTGTCTGCCTAATGCAGAACGTTCTCCAGGCAGGAGCCTCTTATCGAGGAAACACACTGATGATGGACAGAGGCAGGAGGTTGGATGCATAAGCCTGAAAAAGCTTTTTGTGTACTGGACAAATATTAAGCAATCATTACTGCAAATAACTGTTATTTTAGATCAGTCGAGGATTGATGTTGTCATGTAATAAAACCAAGTACCTGTACATAAGTAAGAGCACATCTGTCTGCTAACTGAATATATGTGATTCAACAAACACAGCAGATAAAATACAAGTTAATACTCTCTACAGTTCATTAACAACGCTGAACATACTGCTCCCTTAAATTTCATTTTCATATTTAACATTTCTTTACAGCACTAATCTGAAATTAATTTATTCTAAAATCAGAATCAGTGTAAATCGTTTTTTCAGAAAACTATTCAAGACAGCATTTAGAGTAATTTTTCATGGATAAACTGCTATGAGCCTAATTACAGCTGGTTTAGGTTGTCAGGTTTATTTTATGGCCTAAACCTGCTAAATGTTTGACAGTAAAATTCTAACTGTGTACACAAATGTGGAGAGACCACTACAATTGGTAAAAGTCTCCAGATGGCAACACAGTAAACTGGTCACTGAATCTGGAAAAAAAATCTATCACAAACCTGAAAGCATTATTAAAACAGCTGACTTTTTTTATTTAAAAAAATGAAATAAGTTCAAAATATTTCAAATTTGCTTTAACAGTAAACACATTTAAACAAATGTGCATTTAGAAATATTAGCAACAATTCATTTTTATTATTTGTATTATTATTTAAAAAATATTACAATAGATTTGTATTTTAGCCACAAGAATTAAAAAAAAAAAAAGAAAAACAAAGAAACCATTAATGCTCCAAGGAAAGTCAAGGCTGTAAATGTGCACAATATTCCACATTATATACATGTCATTTCAGAGTGCACTCCAAGTGACGCGGTGTCAAATCTGTGTGACAGATTTAGGTGAATGCTGGTGAAGGGAGCCCTGCGTGGGGAGTACGGCTTAGGGCTGACTCAAGCAGCCAGTACAAGATCTCCAGCAGGCAGAACGGAGCCATGCTCGTCGCAGAGCCGCTGCCTGTCCAGCCCACCAACGCTGACATCCAAGCACCAGCCTGTGACCATTGCCATCATCTGACTACATTCACAAATGACTCTTTGTATCAGCTTTTAGGGTCCATACTAAGTTACCAGGCAATACATTTGTGGAGAGATTCACAAGAACACAAAACAAAGACACAATCTCAAAATGCTGCAAACGCCAAGGCCAAGTGAACTATGCAATAAATAAATAAATACATGCATACATACAAACATATCCAATAATCTGGATTCTGATTTGCTGGTATATATATATATTTAATAATAGGTGTTATATAGAGTTTGAAGTCATGTGAACTAAGACATGGTATGAAACAGTTCTGTAGAGGTTTCAAACTGTACGTGAAGCTTATTTTTTAATGTAATGTCTCCCTCTTTTGGCAGTTGCTGTTGAATAAAAACAGGAGACACAGTATAAACACAAGTACCATAACAATCCCCTGTAGATCAGGAATCCAAAACGGGGGTTTTGATCACAGGCTTTATATGTATTCTGACTGAAAACTGTTCACTGAGTAGTTGTAACTCTCAGAATGGCAAGCCTTATCATGTATCATTTTAAATACATGCAGTAAAAACTGTTGCTGCCCTCTGAAATTAGCGGGACAGGAAGGACCGTTGAGTTTGATCATGTCTGGTTAGGCTCAAGTTATATGTATGATTTCACAGAGATCTGGCAGTAACTTCAAAATGTGGGGGCTCCCTGACATCTAGTGGACTAAAACATGAACTGTTTTTGAAGCAGCACAGGCCAGATTTTGAATTTTTAGTACCTGCTTGTCTAAAATATTCCTACAAAATAACTACATGTCCAGCAACAACTTATGGTTAAAGAGTTCAAATATAACTCTATGGTAAAGTGTAAGCTTACCATCATGTTATATTTTTTTATGATGACATTGGTGTTTACCTGTCAGGAGGATGGAACAATTTCAGGTGAGACATTTTTGTGTGACTTATGTTTCCAGTGGTTCTATCAAGCTGGTCTCTCTTGTGCTTTCACACTGTCTGCACCTTCAACAGGACTAAAGGCAAGTGCCTCTGTACTGGAGTTTTCCAAGTCATTCTGTGAGGATATTACAGCATATTGCCTTGGAGATGGTATCAATTCATACTACTGTATTGAAATGATGCGTATATTAAGAAAGCTACAGTATGTACATGCAGATATAATTCACCTTAGCCGAATTGAGTTAAACTATTTACATGTTTATTGTAATACATGAATAAGAAGGAATGTGTGGGGGTGGAGGGTTTGTTTTCAGGAGTGGGTAAGAGTGAGGGATGGAGCAGGGGTAAAGGGGTAAGGTAGAAGGGGAATCGGGGATGGCGTGGTGGTTACAGGAAGAAGGCTCCTGTTCCTTTTTCGTCCCTCTTCTTCTCTGTTCTCATTCAGATCTTGCCCCTTCCTGCCAGTTGTCCTGAGGAAAAATCTTTTATTCCACCTCCTAAAATGAATTCTCATTTCATCTAAAACAAACATTTTAGAATGAATAAAATAAGATGAAACAGTCAGTCGAGGCCCTGTACCTGCAGCTCTTTGTTCATGAAGGTGAGGAGGCTGATCTGTTCACAAGCCCAGGTCACCTCCTTCCACCACAGCGTCTCCTTCCTGAGCCAATCCTCACAGAGCAGTTTCTTCTCTTCTTACGCTTCCTGCACTGTTCTCCTCCACCTTTCATCTCTGCACTCCAGCTCCTATCACAGGCTCACCTCCAGACCATCACGCCTGGCCTTCCCACTGCCCTTCACTGCTATTTAACACCATGTGTTTTTGAGCCAGCAGTGTAGCTGCATTTGTTCAGTTCTAATCCAAAGGATCACCACACTTCATACTGACATCTTCAGAAAGTTTTATTTTCCCCTCTTGGATTCCTTCCGACATCGTGAAAACTACAGAACAAAGTAACAAGAAAGAATTTTAAACATGACCAAGTAGAGGCACATTAACAACATTGAGCACAAATACAAAATATGTACATTTACCGTTTGCACCTCTAGAACCACGTGCAGTATAATTTCAACTTTGGGGTTTTCTGTCCCATAATGCCACATTGGCACCCGTCACTCAACTCGTCACGTGGTTGACACATACTGCCCTTCAAAATAAACCTCTTCGCCAAGAACAGCATTCTGTCAACTAAACACGGTTTTAAAGAAATACATTTCTTAGATCCTTTCATCTCTGTTAACAATTAACATCTTATTTACATTTCAATGGCAGCTCCAACTCATTATTAATAACAAACATAACCCACATCTTAAATGAAGCCTGTCATTTGGACAGTCACAGGCAGAGCCAGGCAGTCCATGTGCGACCCAGCCGTTTTCTTGTTTCCCTTTTGAGGAACTCATCTTTCTCTTAGAGCTGGCTCAGCTCCTCCGTCCTTTTTCCAAGAGGCCAATCTTCTCCTTTGGAGCTGTTTTCCACCAGCGATGGCAGAAAGCAAAGTGTTTCTGAGGCCCTACACAACTGAGTGTTCAGGGGACTGGTCACTGCAGCTTGCCAGTGCTGCTTCAGGCCACAAATACAGCTCTGAACTGCACTGGCCCAAATGCCCAAAATACACATACTATACATAGTTTTAGCTAAGAAAGTCACATGCTAACACTGGATACAAGAATAGCTCTCCTTGGAGCACGTCTCCAGTGTGCAACAGCACATTCAAACATATTCCACAAAGAAACACCTATTTCTATGTAACAGATTATTTACATTGTTTAGTGTCTGTGGGTTTTGTTTGGGGTCCATAGATTAAAGTTGTGGCAACATAAAAAAATCATCCTGCTTTGTAAAAAATTAAGATTTTATTGACACTTTAGGGAAACTATGAATACATAATAGGGAAACTTAGCTGATCTAGAGAGGAGCTGCTACTAAAAATGTCTCCTGGTTAATTTGTACCTGGTTTCTTCATCTGTTCATTTCAGTGCAGAGAAGATTCAGGTGCATCAACATTCTAGCTTCTCACAAGCAGATTTCTGACTGGCTCTACAAGCACAGTACTTTCATTTAACTATAAATCAGGCCACATTGTATCCTGTGTGTAGGTCAGTTATATCTCCAGTCTTGTGGTCCAACACATAACAGACATTCATCAGTAATTGTCGTCACATGAACCTGTAAACCTTCAGTCCGTATATACAATTGGGAAAATGACATCTCTCCTCAGATGATACAATCCAAAACTGTTTCATCAAATAATTGATCAGTCAGTTGTTTCAAATAAATAAAAATAATGCACAAACAAAATATACTGCAAACAGAGGCCGGTGCCCACTACACCTATAAAATTACAGTGAACTGACCACCCCCCACCCCACAATTATTTTTCTAATTCTCAAGTACTGACATCAGTCTCAGCCATGCTGGCTGGGCTACGCTGATGGATAGGCTACATATTGTACATACATAGCCTGTACATTAGGATGAGTGAATGTTTACTCTAACTGAAAAGATATTCATGCCAGTTTCAATCTCTCCAAGCTGAATTTTCTTAACACCAATCAAGAAATGCAGTGTGTTTTGGAAAAGTCACATTATTTATGTGATTTCATCTGGGACAAGCTTTACTTGTCTGTTAGTTTTTGCACATAGACATAAAATGTAAATGGTTAAATAGCTGAAAATTTCTAGCAAATCAGCACTCCTAAAGGTCATGTTCATATTCAGCACCTCGAAAATCTATAAATATTAGCACCAGTGTGTTTTCTGGAAAATCCACTGCAGTCAATGATTATCTGAATTCTTTGATCCGGAGACAGCAGCAGACACGTTGTACGTTCTGAGGTGATGCTCTCACAGACCTTCAATGCAGCGACTGTCAGCTCTTGCTTGTTGTAGGGTCTTCAGCAAGTGGAATGCAGTTCAGCCAGACAGATCAGATGAGTGACTCTACCAGATGAAGATATTCCACCTCTTCACTCTGAACGGCTCTTTGGTTGCTTCGGCTGTATGTTTAGGATCACTGTCCTGTTTGATGCATTTGGCTTAATCTGAGAACATTCATCCTGTTGTCACTGAGCAGTGAAATCATCAATAATTGTGAGTGTGCTGGTTCCACTGGCAGCCAAACATGGCCAAACCATAACAGAACCACCACCATGTTTGACAAATAAGGTGGTGCTCATTATCTTCTTCATTTGCATGGTCACTTCTTTACTCATCATACTGATAGACAACACTGCCTCAATCTGAACACCACATACGAGTTCTTTCGACTATGGAAAAAATACACAGCTGTCAAACATTTAGTCACCAAGTGTCCATTTGCTTCTGAACCCATGCAATTTGGGCACTGTGTTATGTATCTCCCATGCAATTATTTCTGTATGAATGTAAACCTACTCAATTAAGGATGAGACGCTCTAGTATTCAATATTTTATTTAAAATGAATGTGCTGAAGCACGGAGCCCGAGGAACAAATCATGTAGAGACATCCAAATACCTACTGTGCCATTTGGGCTCTATGTTGTAAACATGTTTTCTTCTATTCACATCTTTAGCTGATATAAACACCTTCAAAATACAAACTAAATTGAGACAGTGCCACAATGTCCAGCACTATGGTCAACAGTGTTAAACACAGTACTATGTCAAGTAGCAGTAGAATTGAACAGTTTGCCAGAGCAAACTTGGTTTTGTGAGACCAAATTCAAGACTGGAAAATGTTAAGGTTATTGAGTAACTGAGTAGAAGTTTGTACAGTATGGGCCAATAACTGCTAATTACCGAGCCATTCAGGTTTTACGCTTAATAAATTCAGTTCTCACAACCGTCTGAAAATTACCAGTGCTTTTGGCAGTGAAGCAATTAAAAGATTTTTAGAATAAAAAGCTTCAAGGTACAGTATCAAAACAGCAGGTGAGAGTCTTGGCAATTTATTAGGGACACCCAGCCAATACTAATGCAGCCTAATTCAGCATTAGTGTGATAATCCTTCCTTCATGAAGGTATACTGTTCAATTTGTGTTGAAACTGTTTTAAAGACGTGTTGATTCAACAGTATCATCGGTTTGGAGGCTGTACAGTAGTTTGTGCACTTGTTCAACTGTACTCCATAACATATAGAGGTGTTTCTGTTACCTAGCTTCACAGATATAAATGAGGTGGGCACAATAATAGAAACACCTGTTGGTATATTACAATACAGTCCAACAGCACCACAAACTACCTCGGCACCTCTCTAAACCAATGTGAACAACAGCATAAGATTATCACGGATTCGTTGTATGATTTTGGTATGAAACTGCATTAGCTTTTCCTGGGTGTAGCTAATATATTGAGTGTAGCCCATAGCAGGCACTTTTAGCTACAGTCTTGAAGGTGCAGTAATGGAATTACAGTGTCAAATTACCGAACCTACGGTGGCCGACACGGTCACAACGCGGTATTGAACAAAACACATGCAAACAAAAAACGCGGCATTAACCAAAAAAACACATGCAAAAGGAAAACGCTGCATAAACCAAAAAACACATGCAAAAGGAAAACGCAGCGTTAACTGAAAACACATGCAAAAGGAAAACGCTGCATAAACCAAAAAACACATGCAAAAGGAAAACGCTGCATAAACCAAAAAACACATGCAAAAGGAAAACGCTGCATAAACCAAAAAACACATGCAAAAGGAAAACGCTGCATAAACCAAAAAACACATGCAAAAGGAAAACGCAGCGTTAACTGAAAACACATGCAAAAGGAAAACGCAGC